AGACTAACACACCAATCTACAAATTGTCTATAAATTCCTCTTCAGACTCATGGGACACATGCAATGATGCTGAATACAGAAAGCTCACAGGCCGGTGGGTGAAAAGTCTTATGGATCCAGTGGCGGTGGAAACATCTCAGCTCTGGCCTGAGTCTCCACGTGGCTTCTCCAGCTCCAGGGCCATTGACTGGATGGCAGTGAGTCTTTTGAGTGAGAGATAAGCTGGGTGGAGACATTGCTTTTGCCTCTTCAGGGAACCTTATATAGAGAACAGAAAGGCATGCTGCCTGATCCTGTATCATCCTCACAGCTTCCACTATATATAAAACATGAAGATTAAGATCGCCCATCCCGCGTCTCCCAACTGCTGGCTGTGTGACTTTGGGCAACTCTCTGAATCTCTTGAAGCCTGTTTTCTCACTTGTCAACACGGGTGAGAACAGTACTGTGCAGATTCAAGAATGTGATGCATGAGAACCACTCAGCACAGGGCCTGGCAAATTAATACTCAAAGCCGTGATTAGTACTGCTGTTGTCAAAATCATCTTTATGAAGATGGCCCTGATCATATCTCGCTAGAAAAATGCTAACAGTCTGCTCACCACTGCCTTCTTGACCTTCAGCAGCCTAAGCCTGGGGAACAGAACGAGGCTTCTGACTTGTCTCCTCATTGCCCGAAGTGGCCTTTAGTGGATTAGCAGTTAGCCTGAACTGGGGCCACCAGGGCTCCCCTGCTGCGATTTCTGGGTGTGCCTTCTGTTTTCTTTAGCAAGTCTTCAGGGTACCCTGGATGAGCCAGAACAGCTTTCATACATAGTGCACTGAAAAATACGATTGGCTCTCTGATACGCTAATGAGAGAACTTCCCCAGCGTGGAAACCAGCGCGGACAGTGTCTGCACTGTTACCGTTTGCCAAGCGCTTCTTCCCGTAAAAGTACTCGCTCCTGGGAAGAAACGTCTCTAAGGCTAACTTGCGTGCCTTCTAGGAATTAAACGGTTCGCAGGTGGGAAGGGCTGCAATGCCCACATTGCCCACTAGGGGACAGAGCGCCACTATGTCTCCGGTTGAAACACGGGTAGTACGCTCAGGAAGGCAGAGTCCTGAGAACTCAGGACCTTCTTTCTAGGGGAAATGGACCCGGATGTGAATAGCTTGCTATCATGCAGAACACATTGCAAAGGGGAGTGTTAGGCATGCAGAGAGGTTAAACTTCAGCACCCTTTCAAAGGATCTCCCTTAAGATCCATTTAAATGTATTCTAGTGGTTTTTTAAAGTTTCTGCTTTTCTTTCGATTGAGGTGTTTTTCTGTTTCCTAACTGTTAGCTTTTATCCTTTTAAATGTTTTTCTGCATACATATAAAATCCAGGATAGGTAAATCTATAGAAAGTAACTGGATTAACGGTTCCTTGGGGGTATGGTAGGGGAGGTTAGGGCAGTGGTTCTCAACCTTCCTAAGGCCGCAACCCTTTAATACAGTTCCTCATGTTGTGTTGAACCCCCATCCGTAAAATTATTTTTGTTGCTACTTCATCACTGTCATTTTGCTACTGTGATGAATCGGGTGACCCCTGTGAAAGGGTCATTCTCCCCCCAAAGGGGTCTTGACCCACAGGTTGAGAACCGCTGGGTTAGGGGACTATAGGAGCTAATAATGATGAGTACAAGAATGAAGAAAATGTTCTAAAACTCATTGTGGTGATGTGTGTACAACTCTTCTTGATGTGACTGAACTGTTGAATTGTATATGTGAGTTATATGCCAATAAAACCATTAAAAGGAAAGACAATTCAAAGTTAAGGGGCAGCACTGTTAGTGTCTCAGATATAAATCAGTAAGTTTCTTATCTCACAAAGCCCAGCCAGCTTATTTGTCAGGAAATTCTTTGGCTATTCCATGGTTGTTCAAATAGCGCTTTGAAATATATTTTGTTTTGTATGTTGGTTCATCTCCAGACATGAAAAGAAACAAAATTTCTTTTTCTTGTAGAAACATACAATGTATCCTTCTAAGCCCCTAACAAAAGTACTCCAGAGGCTGTCAATACACAATAACCATAGTTCCTTTTGTGTGTTTACAGCAGTGCCTGAGGACAAGAAAGGGGTTCTGCTGTGTAAACCTGGGGATGAAAGCATGTTTCTGGACAGCAGCAGTGCTTGAAAAAGTAAACGGCTACACAGAAACAAAATTCCTCAGAGGTGGAGTTTAAGATTGGAAACTGGTATTTGACATCTCAGTAGATGTATACTTTCCACCCATACAGGGGCTGGGTTGGGTCTCCACAGGGCACTGTTTTATAAGAGATTTTAGAAATTTCTTAAACTTAATATTCCATATCAGCAACTCTAAGATCCTTAAGCCCCTGAAGTCACGTGAACTTTGCGCATTAGGAATGTTTGAGGTGGCAAGGTTTGACTCCATCAAAAGGCACCTCAGAAGAAAGGGCTGGCAACCTACTTGCCAAACCAGCCACTGACAACCCTTATGACACACAGTTCTACTCCCACCCGCACGGGCCCCAAGAGTTAGAATGGGCTGTGTGGCAGCTGGTGGGGAAGGTAGGGGGGCAGCTAAATGAAAACTTAAATACTTCTGAAGGCTGAGCCAAAGATAAGGTGAACAACGAAGAAACGGGTGAATAGCTGGTACTCCTGAAGTGCTTAGAAAGCAAAGGGAAAGGACAGCGTTGAGTGTGTTACTAATGTCAACACAATCAGGGCCTTCAGAGGCTTCCAAGTTTATTCATAAAAAAGGTGTGACAAAATAAGGTTAGAAAACTCCCACAATCTTAATACACTTATCTCAACACGACAGCTGACGACTCAGTCTCACTAACACAATTCCTTGAACTTTAAGGGGAACAAAAAGAAAACAGTGTTTGCCAATTGTAGTATTTCCTTTTAGAGTTATTCTGCTGAAAACAGTTAGTTATCCAATAAGTGCCTGACAGTGCACTTTGAAATTTTATACTTCTCTGCACATCAGCTTTCTAACACTAAAATCGCTCCAAATGTGTCCATAAGGCAAACTCACAGTTGTTTTATCAAGGTAAGTTATTTTAAACAAAACCAAAAGATCCTTATCACGACACAGTTGGTGCTGAGGCCAGACACAAGTGGCGGGATACAATACGGAATCTTGGAGATGCCGAGCAAACCCACTAAATGCGCGCATGCAGACGGCAGTTGCCTTTGCACTGGAGGTGAGGGGTTAGGCGCTGGGGCCGGGGAGCGGTGGTCCCCACGCTGTGGCAGCAAGCCAGAAGCCTGCGTGCCCTTGGCCCGCCCTTGGCTGTGCACACCACTGGGGGCAGGAGCTGGCCTGCTTGACGCTTGTTAGAGCCTTTCACATCCGGCAAAGCCCTGTTTTGCTCAGAGTCGGAGGTGGCCAGAACTGAACTTACAGCCCTGAGCGCTCCTCTGGAAGGCCGCGGGCCCACAGCTGTGATCACATCCTCTGGAGTTTTGTGACAATCAGCACTCTCACGGTCTGGTCAAACGAGCTACACACGCAGAGGCCTCTCTTGTCGGGACTCCAGTCCAAGCTGGCGATGGGCTGTGTGGACAGGGTCACGTTCTGCAGGAGGCTCACGGAGCCCGCCACGCCCATCTGCACGCCCTCTGAGTCCTTCTTGGAGCGCTGGGCCGGGTACTCACTGGAAAACAAGGGGAAGCAGTAAGGAGAGCCGACCCAGCATTCGACACTTCACACTCCAATGGCCAGTTTTGTTTCCCCGATGGTTACGGAGATAAATACGGAAAGAACCGTTCTCTGGGTCAGCGGCAGGCAAATAAAGACAATTTCAACCTCAACTTTTACCAAAATATCTCACACAAAAAAAGTGTGCCGTCTCATAGAACAGTTTTAGCATTGATTCTGTTCAGGATATGCCTGTATCGCCTCTTTCAATATGAAAGCTCTAGACTGAGCTCAGCAAAACAAACAAACAGAAACTCACTGCCCCTTAAGAGACTATCGGGCAGGCTAGAGCTGCCCTCGTGGGTTCTGACGCTGTAATTCTTTGGGGCAGTGAAAAGCCCCAAATTCCCCCTTGGAGCAGCGGGCGGTTCCAAACTCTTGACTCTGTGGTTAGCAGTCCAATGAGCAGCTGCTGCCCCACCAGGACTCCTCAGGTTGGGCTAGCGAGCTTTAAGAAATGTGCTGAGGGCTCTATCGCTGTCTGTCTGGGGGCTAAAGGCCACGGGCCAGCAGCACCTGCAGCGGCCGGAGCTGTGAGGGATGTCTGGAGAACCCAACAGGACAGTGACTGAATGGAGACTGGCCACCTCATTCCAGCCCACTGCCCAGCGCACAGATGCACACCCAGGGCCTTCTGCGTATCATTTCTATGGAGGGGCATCAGAGGGGGCGATTCTTAAACCTAAACACCATTACCTAAAAAGAAGGAGACAAAAGGCATTTCTGAAAACATTTTATTCTCTTTCAGCTGAAACTTTAAATGTAAGAAAGAAGCGCTGCAGGATGAATAACTCTCAAAGTCCTCCTGCTCCGGAGTGGCCAGAAACCAAGCCAGTGCCGTGCTCCTCGCCAGGGCTGTCTGACAGGCAGGGCATCCCGACGCCCGTGGGACATGGGCGGGGGCTCCTTCCTTTCCTGCACTAAGGCCAAGGGTCTAAGGGTCCCAAGCAGCTCGGATGCAGACAATCAATGGGAAAGCGGCAGGCTGATGACCTGCTGCCTCCTCCCCTGGCAGCCCTTACAACTTATTGATCATGATAAAGAGAAGCAGCACATTCGGTGAATGAAGAGTTTGAAGACAACTCTCGTCACACATCTCTCTAAGCACAGGCTGCAATTATTTAGTGCTTTAAAGATAACCAGGTTATTTTCAGTTTTATTTCTCCTCCCTTTCTTAGCATTGTGGTTGGGGGCCAGTTTATGGAGCAGGTTTGTCTTCAAGTCCGGCGCCCTTTGTGCCACTCATCCCCACAGCATCACCCACTGCCTGATCCGGCCTGCCCTTCCCCCGCCTTGCCCAGGGCAAAGAAAACGTGTTCTTAAACCCGTCATGCTACCTAGTACGTTTGAAGGGAGAGAGAAAATGATTCACACACACAAGCAACAACAAAACTAATCCACGTGTGCTGGGGCTCAGTTCTGAATAACTCCCGAGAGATCTCCCAGGGACTGGCAGTGAGGTGGGTGTTCACTACGTATCTGTAAGGTCGTTGTCTCACCACCAAGGAGACTGGCAAGAGCAGCCGTGTTCCCCTGACAGGGCTTGTGCTTCGGTCCAGTGTCTGACAGCACAGCTCGGAGATGGCATGGATGAGCAGACTCAAGTTCACGCTGAGCGCAACATCCTAGACCCACCTGCTTCAAAAAGTTTGTGGGAAAATGTCATTACCTCTTCATTCCATTTTCCCACAAACTTTTGAGTTGCCCCTCACATGTTACAGATGCAGCCTTAAAAGTATTTATTTATAAGCTTGCTGAAAAGAAAACTCGGCCATCGTAAATGGTAAGAATACAATGAACTATTTTCCAATACAAAAAATTAGGGAAGTGACACTGTCTGGACTCGGGGCGGCTGCCTTTCCTCCCTCGTCAGGGCCCCTGGGAAGAAAGGCCCTGCTGCTCATGCCAGCATGAGCCCCGGAAGGGCCCAGATGTCTCCCCAGGTCCCAGGCCCAGATTGCCTGCTCCAGAGATGCTGGGGCTAAGCAGGTTCCCCCTTCAGGGGGATTTATGGGACACGGTAGGGGGGCCAGCCTCCCCCACATCTCCCCCCAAGGCAAAGGGAAAGGCAGGGAGCTGATGCCACTCACTGGGAGAGGTGGAGTCTCTGGCCGCTGTGGGCACCATGTCACTCACTGATTCTGAAGTGAGCCAGGAAGGGGCAGCCAGGGGCCCCGGGTATGAGTCAGGAGCACAGCACACACTGGCCTCCAGAGTAGGATGAGCTGACACAGAGGCGTGCAGTCATACGCCTTAGCTGGCAGTTTGCTCGCGGCCGTGATTGTCTGCATGCTTGGGTCCTCAGGACTGTGAGCTTCCTGGCTCCTGGCATATAGATCCAACTGTACTCAGCCCATCAGAGCACCTACACCTGGGTTGCCTGTTGGGCTGTTAACCGTAAAGTCAGTAGTTCAAAACCACCTGCAGAAAAAGACAAGGCTTTCCACCCTGGGAAGGTGTACAGCATTGGAAACCCACAGGGGCAGTTCTACCCTGGCCTGTACGGTCCCTGTGAATCTGAGCCAACTTGATGGCAGTGAGCTTTTGGAGGATGAGTCTAGAGTCTTTATCACGTGGCACTGACGAGAAAAACAGAAGCACGAGTGAGTCAGACCTTCTGTGTGACAAACACGTGTGTGCATCCCACATGTACAGAGAATTACACAGGAAACTGGGGATTGCGCCTTAATGAGCCTGAGGAGTCTGAGCATGGTGAAGAAGGGCAACGGGCCTCGGTGTGTCTCACAAAGGGGCCTGGCCGAGCCCCGTCCTACAGGGAACCTAAGGGAGCGGGCGCTGGGCAGACTTACTACTTCCAGAGGTGCAGGCCGCCGGCGCCCCCAGCAGTCAGGAAGAGCTCTCGGTTCTGCGGCAGGTGCCGCACCTGCCACACCGTGGATTTATGAGCCTGAACGGAACCAGAAACACACGGTGAGAGCTATGTCTGTGACAGAGGGACCGGCCAGGAAGAGACACGCGCGTAAATGAATCACGTGTACCGCAGCGTCCCAACCACTATTAGACAGGGACGTGAGGTTATTCTGAGCACATCTCTTTAGAACGGCTACAGAGTCATCCGAACTAGTCAGAAAGAAGAAAGGGCATCATTTTCCTCATCGTTTTAAAGAAACAGAGTTCTTGTGAATATTTTGAGGAAGGAAGGTGTTAACAAATTAAAAGCCCTTTCTGGTTTATAGCACCATATACATTATGAAAATAGATGGTACCCACTTACACATCTCTAGCTCATTCTGAGGGCAAAGGAAACATGCAAGAAAACAAAAAACAGAATTCTTCCTAAAGGAAAAACACCAAGTGTTCGCCTTAGGCTCCCAGACGCCCCCTTCTCTGCGATCTAACCTGTCTCCTGTGTCAGGATCGGGAGGCGTTAGAGAGGGCTTACGGTCATAGTAAGCCACAGCCTGCAGCAGGCATCTCACACTGACCGGTCGACACGGCAAGAGAAGGTGACTAGCTTGTTAGCACCGCAACAACAGCCAGTGCGTAATCGATGCTCACGGTGGGAAAGATTAGGTGACCAGATTTTAACATTGGTAAAGCGGGACACGATCGATAAAACTCATATCCTGGTGAAATAGCCACATGGCAGCCGAAAAACGTATACTAGCTTGTCGTGCATTCTTTCCAAAACTGGGGACTTTTAAAAAATGCCGCGGGACATGGGAAAAATTGTTAACAATCGGGACTGTCCCGCCAAAAGCGGGCCGTCTGGTCCCTTAGAGAAAGACAGCAGGCGGACCGAGGGAGCAAAACGAAAGCCTCTGCCCTGCAGAAGCCTGGTGAGCGGCGGGCTGCAGGTGAGCCAAGCCACACACGCACACTCGACACTTAGTGAGTAACACTTGACGCTTGGTCTTAATACTCTTCTGAGAATAACGACCAGCAGACACAACATCTTAAAACACGTGCGACAAGTGTGCGTGGGGCCCCAAGGGATTTCGTTCACATGGACAACGGATTTTAATTTGTTTTAGACCTTAAACTTGCTTCCTCTGGAAGTTCAAAAATCACACACATGCACACAACAAAAAAACAAAGCTAAGAAGGGGAGTGACCCTCTTTAAAATACAATGGTTATTTTGACAAATTTTGCAATAACTGGGTTAACCAAATATAACAAAACAATTTTTGGAAGCGATACTATTATTTATAGCCAATGAGAAATGGGGTACAATTGCCTATGAACAATGGAGTGAAGTGCTTGGTGTATGTTGCCGGTCATCGGTACATCTGAATTGGCAAAGGCCAAACCAGATTCCATTTAGAGCTACCTTGTTAAGGGTCTACCTCATCAGGCAGCAAGTCACTTACAGACAAGACTACTACCATAACGAAATAGCTCACATATGCAGTCATTGATACATTATAATAGCTAATATTATAACAATGGAAGACTACAAAACAGGGGGCTTTGAGAAGTACTATGGCCCCAGGGTGGAGGAAGGGAAACCAAAGCAGTGCATTCTAGTTTCCTGAGCAAGTTGTGACTGCCTGTCCCAACTGCTACACACTGGTGCCTGGCTGACGCGGGCGGTTTCTTGAGCCAAACGGACATACATACATAGAGACAGACACTACAGGGCAGCAGCACAAATTAGACACAGACAGAGACGGTACAAAACTGCCGCAGCCTTGACGCCCCGCAGTGCTTTATTTTATGTACCGAATACTGGCAGTGTTCCCAGACAAGTTTGCTATTCTGACACTTGAATTTCTCATAGTCTTGAGAGTGAGTTCGGTATCTCGGCCCATAGCAATGTTTTCATTTCTACCAGGGAAATACCGTGTGCAGCTGTTTCCACAAATCATCCTACTGTTTGCAGTACGGATGCTGTTTATGAGAACCAGCTAGGACAGACGTTTGCGTCCTGTCCTAGACAGATACAAGACTCGAGACACAGTGCTCCTCTCGTGGCTCCTTCACCTGGCAGCTCGCTCTTCTTCGCTGTTGTACACAGGAAGCTGAGTTCACACTGAGACGGACAGCTTACAAAGGACAGGGCATTTCAGCAGAGTTGACGTCACCCCCTCACGCCAAGCCGCATCTTATATTCTTAACCAGGATTGCCCCTGCTTCTGCTTTCCTCACCAACAGGTTTCTAATCTTGTAACTCCATGTTTCCCTCTCCGCTACATCAAATATTATTTGGAACGGGGCAAAGTATGTATGAATAAATAGAAAAACTAAATGATTTTTGAGGGTACGATGTACCAGTCTCAGTGAGTAGACCTTTCGACAAATTCTTTCATTTATCAAAGCAAACTGGAAATATTAAAATAGAATGAAATGACACACAATATACATGCTGATATACCTTGAAAAGTAAGTAAGTGAATATTCAAATAATATTATCGATTCATTATAAAAACATCAGGCTGGTTTTGGTGATCAAATTCCTAACACCAGCTAGTTTTCTGGCGAATTGCTACTTAGTTACAGGTTCCCAGTCTTCGAGGTCTCATTAGAGTCACCAAGTCCAGACTCCATCAACTTTGGGAAAGTGCTGGTGGCAGAGAAAACTTGTCAAGATCCCACACGAATGTATCAAAAATAGCTTCTTTCACACAAAGACTTGGAAGAAGCCTTTGTGACTAATCCCTTAGTCTAAACAAAGACATCATTCCTCTTCTTAGAAAGACGACCGCTCCCTCATATGTTTTACCTTTTCTGAAACGGAAGCAAAACCTTTGGTTGGATGCTGTGTTCTCATGTCAAAAACATGGAACTTCCCTTCCAGAGAGGTAGCTACGAACTTATTCATACTGATGTCTTTTCTGTCAAACTCAACGCTGCAGACCTGGAAAAGGGAGAACATTTAGTTTCAAAGGGCTCATCATTCTCATGCAGGCAATTCTCACTATTAAGCAAAGCAGCTCTAAGCTTATCAGCTCATGTGAAAGCATTCAATCGTTTTATAATTTACATCGACACAGGGCGCTTCCGAGAGGTGGTGGGGAAATTCCATTATTTTTTAATTCCATCTTTCCCATGAGCTTTTTCAAGCCTCCTCAAACATCAAGGACTTTTACTGCCAAGGATCTTTTTCTCGGTTAATAAGATCGACAAAAATCATCTTGCTTTGCCATGCCATGCACAAGTTGGAATGTTCTCCCATGGTTGTTTTTGGGGAAAACCGGAATCCCTCTGATGACTGACAGGATCTGACAGAGCGGGCCATGCTTTCTTGGTGTGCTCATAGTGCAGTGGTCGGTCCTCAACCTTCCTCATGCCGCGGCCCTTTCATACAGTTCCTCATGTGGTGATGACCCCCGACCAGAACATGATTTCCGTTGCTACTTCATAGCTGTAATTTTGCTACTGTGATGATTCGGGCAACCCCTGTGAAAGGGTTGGTCAACCCTCAGAGAGGTCGTGACCTACAGGTTGAGAACCACTGCCCTAGTAGATGACATTCTAGACCCCTCTGTTTGCTCTATTCCATATGGATCTGTGCTACTAGGAACCTAAGAAACAGAGCAGAGGGTATTTAAGACACTGAGGCCTCAGCTTATCAGGCGCAGGGCTATGTCTCCAGTTAGAGGGGAGGGGGGGGGCAGAACCAGCAGGCCTGGTTCACTGTGGATTTGCTCATGGATTGAATTTTTTTTCATGGATTGAATTGTGTTCCCCCAAATATATGTCACCCTGGCTGGGTAATGATTCCCAATATTGTCAGCTTGTCCTCCGCTTTGTGATCCAATGTAACTATCCTCCATTTGGAATAGGTATTGTAAACCCTGACTAACCGCTACAGGAGCATGAAGGAGCCTTGTGGGCGCTCTAGGTTAGGTGTTCAGCTGCTGATCACAGGAGCAAGATGAGGATGTCTGCTCTCATTGAGACAAAAAGTCTCCGAAGCCCTATGGCGCGGGGCTGTGAGTGGAAATGTCGCATGACTGTGGCTCTGGGGGTCTACAGGCGAACGAGGGCTGTGGTGGGATTGTCCATGACTTAGGGGAGCTACATCGACAGCCCGATCTGCTGCTGTCAAGCTGACCCCACCTCAGAGACCCTCTGGGGCTTCTGTCATCTTTACAGACGCAGCCTGTCCTCCCGTGGAGTAGCTGGGGGGTCAAGCCACCAACCTTTCTGTTAGCAGCCAAGCATTTCAAGCACTGCATCATCATGGCTCCTACAGCTCAGTGAGATCTGACTCTACGTGACTGGAGAAAATAGCCTTCTTTGCTGAGGTGTCCTGTCAGTAATGAACAGAACAAAACCAAACCCCGAGAGTCCAGGCACTGCAAAATCAACAAGAACAGAGCCTCTTAGCCGCTGGCTTGCAGATCTTCACATGGCACAGCCCGGGGGTCCCGCAGACGGCCGAGGGGTTGGCGATGCACCGGCCATGGTACCCACTACGCCTGAGAGGGAGTTCCTCTGCTGAAGGGAGGGTTCGTGATTTTCAGTAGGTTCTCAAAGCGCTCTCTGACCCCAACAGGTGAAGAGGGGCTAGTAACCTAGAGGGCTGGTGGGGGCTTTCCTTTCAGGCAGTTCACAGGAGGAGGAAAACAGGCTCGGGAAAAAACGAAAAAGCATCAGCATGCACATTACCCCATTTTTTATGTTCGTCTCCCATCGCAATGACATATTTCGCAGGTCAAACAGTTTAATGTCCCCATTGTCATAGCCCGCACAAACAACTCGTTCCTCTTGATTATAAGAATTGCCTGGAAATCAAGATACAACATTTCAGATATTTGTAAATACATAATTTGATGGCCATTAGAAGAAAAGTTCATGAAACCTCACCTATAACTTCCACAAATCATACTTAAAACCATTAGGTATTTTAACAATCCTTATAAAACCATTAGGTAGAATCCCATTTTAACAATCCTTATAAGGCATCAAAACAATATGGTCTTGAGATTTAATACAGAATGGTATGTCAAAGCAACTCTCCAAAATTGTATCTGCAAAGACTACCAGGCTACCAAGGCGGCTATGGTTCAAACATGGGAGGGCCTAAGAGGAGAAATAGAGCTACGCTTTCTTTGGCAGCAAGTACCTTTAAATACCAAGAAAACTAACATGAAAACCTGTGTATTTGCTTATTCTCCTGCTGTTACCTTATCTTTTCCGGGAAAGCTGAACCAAGCTGCAGCATACTGATGCTCTGCTTGGCAGTCACGACCACATCTGATGTGCATTCAGACTCTAGTTGAAAGCCTCCTGCTGGGGATGAGCCCCGAGCAGCTCGCTGTGGGCACACAGTGCGGGGGAGTCGGGAGGCTGCTGACTGCAGGCCTTCCTTCTCCACGGACTCAGGTCCCCATTCCTCACCAGCCCAGCTCTGTGCCGACTGTGGCCTCCGCCTAGACGATGGGAGGTTTGCAATGCATGGCATCGGCCATCCCACAACTAGCCTCCAAACTCTAGGCATCGGGTGGGAACAATTTCTCTTCTTTCTCTTAACCAGCAAGTTCCCAGATTCTACTTCTTTTGCTACAAAATTGTCTTTCAAATCAATCCTCTCTTCACTGACCCGTGTTTCTAACTTCTCTTCAGCACAGTATCGCAGTTTCTGAACACCTATCCCTCGGGCCACTGCTCTCCCTCTGACTACTCACTGCCTTAAACTTTCCTCCGGGCTGGTCACATCTCACCCTGGCACAAATCTTCAGCGGCTCCCCACTGCCTGCAGACCATTCCAAACCACACTGCTGGCTAAGGCCCCGAGCCATAAGGCTCTGCCTACCACCAAGCCCCTCGGGTGGCACAGTGGGTTAAGCATCGGGCTGCTAACTACAAGGTCAGTGGGTCAAATCTCCAAGCTACTCCACAAGGGATAGTAGTCTGCTCCTGTGAAGATCTATGGAGTTCTACTCTGTCCCACCAAGAGTTTGTAGCACCTCACACGGCAGTGGGCGTTAGCAAGCCTGGATCACTTCTCCCTTATCAGGACTGCTGAGGCAACATGCCCTGGTCACAGAAATAAAAGTTTCCCAAAGCTCTGGGTCACCTTCACATGCTCCGTGGTGCTTTGCCTCTTCTTGGGATTCAGAAAAATTGTCATACCAGTGAATACATGTTCTGAAAACATTAATATCCTAGATTTAAAATTATACTTATATTCTTGAGATCAATGCTGAAAAAGCTCTAGGATAATTACTGTTAATTATTATGTCCATTTTAAATGATCATTCTAAACAGTAATCCTGAAATATCTCCCTGAAGTATACATGTCTTATGTTTACATGATTACTCATAAAAGCACATAGCAATTTCCCATGTAATATTTTGAAACCAGAAATCTGAGCCTTCCCTTTTTAAAATAAGAATCCAATGTAAAAAGAACATAAAAGGTAAGCAGTCCACGTGTACCTTCAAACCTCACTTTTAGATACCTGTTGTCTACCCAGCATGGCACTAAGAAGAAGAGAAGAAAAAACACGGGCTTCAAACGAAATACGGCCCAGCTCCTCAGCAGCAAAGCTTAGTTCAGCCTTGGTGCTCCAAGGTACCCAAGCAATAGCATCGGCCCAACAAAGTAAGTATCTGCTTAGAGAATGTTACTAGAACACAGCCATCAGAGTTCCAGCAGGCTTTTGCCGTGGCATTATTGTGTTCCAGAAAACAAGCACATTCTGTGTAACGCCCAGGTGACGTTTGTTAGTTTCAAGGCTCTGCTTCCACCATGAATGACATCTGGGTCTAAGCAAGGCCAGCATTCTCTAATTAAAAACAAGTACAGAATACTAAGAGCAATTCTTTTCAAGGGCTAAGTATCCTCTGCACAACTTTGAGCACTTTCCACGTAGGAGCTCCCGGACTCCTCGGGGCCACACTATTGATGAGGTTTGAGGGTTAGCTCCCTCTGAAACACGAAGCAACCACAGCACAGAAAGGTTTGGTAACTTGCTCCACATCACTGCGCCAGTAAGTGGAAGAGTCAGAATTGAAAGCCAGGTTCCCCCAGAGCTCAGCATGAGCCACCCTGAACACCTGAGAACAATCCACAGAGCACACTGGAGGGCGCCTGGGATCAGGAGCCCCGGCAGCACTGTGCCGTCACCCTCGGGGAGGGGCACTCTGGAGCGAGAGTCTGCAGTCGCTCACCGAAGGCCACAGTCCAACAGTCTCGCTTGTTCTCTCCTGGCGCGGGTTCCATGTTGGCAACAGGATCGTCCTTTTGCCGTGGGTCCCACACCTTGACGGTTCCTGTCAGAGGAAGAGCTTCGTTCACTAGGGGAGCAGAGCATGCTGTTCCTATCACGCACTCCGTGTCCCTGGCTTCCTGTGCTCCCCCATTCTTACAGGTGCACGGCATCTGGAAAGTAGCCCACACTTTTCTGACTTCCAGTTGGGTCAATTGTATTTAACATCAGAGAACTAACCCATATGCTGTAATCTGGCTCTGTCTCCAAACTAAGAGATTTCCAGAGAAGCCAATATACTGCTCTTAATTTCCCACAAGGATGAGTGGCCAGGAAAACACAAATCCTGTGCAAGACAAACAAATCAGGCTTCATTTTCCTTGAGGCCAAAAAATGAATTTAAAGTATATTTTTCCCAGAATATACCAGTGTTGCCTTAGATGCTTCCTTACTCTTCACAAGGAAGAACTGGCATTTGTTTTACACAGGTGAATAAACTCGAATTTTTCTATCTCTGGTTTCTTTTGTAGGGTTTTACAACACTGCTTCATATATAATAAAGTTTAATTTCCCTGCGGCAATAATAGAGAGAACTATTAAATAAGTTAAGAAAAATGTTTCTCAATTTCCACTCCCTCGTGACCAGACTACTTACTACATGGTGTCAGGGACTAAGGAGAAATGCAACAGCCCCAGGCAACAACCCGAGTGGCTCAGAGAAGGGCACACACGCACACACAGCCTGTCTAGACTCAGTTAATCCCAGGAAGGAAGTTCGGTGGTCATTTAAAAAGACAGACTGATATAGGATAAACAATAAACGTGTACAGCTAAATGAGCAAGGCATCTGAACAGGCAAGGCCCACCCTAACAACTAACTTGCAAAGGAACATGGAGAGCGGTTAACCCAGGCTGGACTTGAGTTCCATTTTCATCCATAAAACTAAGGGGTGGGGGAGAGACGTTGGGAGGGTCAAGGAAAAGTGGTATTCGCACCCACCGTAGCTACCAATATCAACGGGCCCCGGGAAAGGTTTGATAATACTTCCTACACCTCATAGAACATGTTTATTCCGAAAGAGTTACATGAGTGCTGACATTTGTTTCTTGGTGATTTTTAAGTCACCCTGCCAAAAACAGGCCAAGCAAGCAATGCTTTCAAGCAGGGTCATGGCTACGTACACTGTGCTACATTCCCTGGGGGACGGACAACAGAACAGTGTGTGAAAGGAGACGTCGGACAGTGTAACACACGACAAAATAATAATAATTTATAAATCATCAAGGGTTCATGGGGGGGGGTGGGAAGGGAGGAGCTGATACCAAGGGCTCAAGTAGAAAGCAAATGTTTTGAGAATGATGAGGGAAACAAATGTACAAAAGTGCTTGACACAATGGATGGATGTATGGATTGTGATAAGAGTTGTATAAGCCCCAAAAAAATGTTTTAAAAAAATACTTATAAAAATCATACAGAAAAAGCAATACTTGCATATAACATAAATGAGAAAAGGATAATCATGTTCAGACTGATAATAACTCTGCAAAGCTGACTAAGACTGAGAGGAAAATAGAATGGTAACAGTTGGGCTAGGGTGGTAGAGATTCAAGTTTTTTCCTTCTATGCTCCTTGCTGCTCTTAAAATGAAAAAAAAAAAAGATTTCTGAAACACAGCCACATCTCATTTTTCTTTTCAAATAATCTCAGGATCTCGAGCAGCTATTTAAAACTCGCCAGACCGACTACAACACTGAATCGCTCGTGCACAAAACCGTGACTCGCTGACAGTAACACGGGACAGCTGGACCGCGCCGGTCAGATGGCACGCTGGTCCTTCAAGGGCACGACGACGTGGGAGAGCAGAATCGCTCCCTCAGTGCGCTCCCCAACACTCGGCAGGGTGCGCACGGAACTTCACTTTTCAACCAGCTGCCAATCTGACAGTTTTCACAAGGACTGATTCTGCTTTTTAAAAAAAGAAATGGAAAACTGCCTCCCACATTATATCATCAGCTGCCTGAAGAGCCCCTAGAGAGATTTTCAATTCCTTCTTAAGATTCATGGGCACCATCATTCTTGGTAGCTGAACTAGCTCCAAATGAAAAGAGTAAGTTCTAAGCCTCTACGTCTTAACACCCAAAAGTCTGAACCAGCTCAAGGACATGCAATCGAGCTTGCCTATGAAAAGTGGAGGCAAGAAATGTTAGATTTAGGGGTCCAGACAACTAAGGAGGATTTCTTCCCCCTTCAAAACAATTTTTCCTCAAGTACACATAATTCTTGGACTCACCATCTCGGCTGCCAGTCACAATTTCCGGGGCTCCTTCCCCAATTCCGAGTCCGCCTACACCATCGATGGTATTGATGATTTCCTTGTGGCCCTTTACAGAATACACTGGGGTCTCCGGAGCTTCCAGATTCCTAAACAACAGAAAACAGCTTGGTTCTTACATCCCGTGCCCCAACACTTACGTCCACTAATGAAATTTAAGACTGTGCACTATATTTAGAGTTCTGTTTAAAAATAAGTGCTCTTTCTATGAAGGTCATTTATGTATCTACTGCCACATGTTTCGCCACTACTTCGGCTTCTTTCAAGCTACCATGCGAACCTGGAATTCTAACTCCAGAGCCCAGACAGCTGTCCTCAAAGACTAATTATCCAGGAAAGTCGTACCTGAATTACCACCAGGTGCGCCTGTGGTACACGCAGAACCCAAGAGCCTGTGGGCTCAAGAGATTCACGGGCTGGCTCCTCCCAGTGGTAAGGAACCAGCATCTCTGGGTTGAGGACCTAAACCTGCGAACGCAGTGCACACTCAAGTCTGAAAGCCACCGCTGTCTATGTGGTATCTTTTCAACGTGACCTTGATTGTTCCCATGGTAGGCCTTGTAGGTTGGCCTTGTAAGCTTTTTAGTGATAAAACTTGTAGTGTTGACTTCGCATACATTCTTTCTTTTATGGAATTATTTTCTCACTGAGTTCCCTATGGATACCCACCTACTTATAGGAAGGGGTTCCCAAAAGTGCGTGGAGACATTCCATGATCTTTGATTTGATTTTCCCACAAATCCATTGAAACTCTTTCATATAACCTGCTGCAATAAGTAGGTTATAGGAAGTTTGTCTTATTCCAGGTTAGTTATGAGACAGGAAAATACCTTTAACCACAAGAGTAGAAAATAAATTAGGGAACTTCAAGAAGTTTGTGGAAAACCCATTCACTTTTAATTCCATTTTTCCAAGAACTTTTGAAGCCCTCCCTTAAATTTGGTCAATGGTTCCAGTAGGTTATATTGATAGAGCCTTTCTTGCCTCCCTGTATTCCCACTCCCTTTTCTGCTTTACTCTTAGAGCCTCCATCCACATTTTTCCTGAACAAGGCAGCTTTCAATATGTGCATGTTTCTGAAAAAACGTGACTATTCATGAACCTCACCCTTATTACCAGGCCAAGGTTTGTAAGTAAAATTCCCCTATTCAAAACTTGAGGAAGTTCTGCCCAAATATCTGTCTTTGGATAAAAAATACATTTGTCTTTGTAACCCCATTGTGAAAGAATCGAGAGACTAAACAGGATTGTGAGTCTGCTTTAAAAAAATAAACGGATTTACTATTTTTATAGACTTGAAAACATGACTCATTTTTCACATGGAACTCTAAGACTTAGCTGTGAAGGTAAATCATAAGACCTCTAAGATTATTCCAGGGAACTCTATTAGGGAGAACATCGACACTTACGTTCATGGCATACTCTTGTGTTGAAATAACTTACATTTATTTTGAACAATAACATTCAAACTGGCCTCACTCCTAATTTCTCTGAAAATATACAGCAGAGCATATAACAACTGATGTATTCCAATAAGTGCTAATTTAACCATTAAGCAGTGAAGTCAAAGAGGAAGTATCAGAAGTTTATTCTGTTTAACCTTATGATTTTAAGAAAGAAAAATATGTCAAGGTAATTTAATTATAAAGTAGCAGAATATAAGTGAGAATCAGGAAAGATCCTATTTCAAACACAACATATTGGAGACAGTTTCTTTCTAGAATTATCCTATTTACTTGAAATGACAAATATTACAAGACAACCCTACAAAATTGCTAAACAAGAATCTCAACTCATTCAACTCTAAATAGCAAGAATTAATTCTAAATAAAACATGAAAATGAAAAGCATTTGGCACAATGATGTTCAATCGAAACAGGTTTATTTTCATTTGTTCGATAAATGTGCTCATTGTAGTCTGTTATCAAGCATGACAAGAGCAAATAGAAAGCATAGTTAAATAATTTGAGGGTTCTATCTACATTATGTGTTGGGCTGCTACACAGAGTCAGCAGTTCGAAACCACCAACCACTCCAAGGGAGAAAGACAAGGTTGTCTACTCCCATATAGAATAACAGTCTCTAACAGTATAGGCAGCTCTCCCCTATACGAGAGGGTCACTATGAGTTGGAACAGGCTTGATGGCAGGAAGAGTATCTATAGTCAAAAAGTAAAAGAAAAAAAATCATTGCAATTGCTTCTGTAATGTCAAATTTCTTGATGGAACTGTAAATAAAGATCTCACTTTTCAGGGTTAATAAATAAATCCTTTCATATACTGTGTCCTTAAAAAACTCACTACCACCGATTCAATTCTGGCTCAGAAAGACCCTGAAGGGCAGAAGCACAACTGCCCCTATAAGTTTCTGAGGCTATAAATCTGTCTGGGAGCAGAAAGTCTCATCTTCCTCCTGGGGAGTAAGATGGTGGATTCGAACTGCTGACCTTGTCATTAGCAGCCCAATATGTAACCCGCTACCCACCAGGGATACCTGTGTCCCTGAAGGTAGAAGGGAAACAGAGCTTTACTTAGAAATATGGAGTGTTCACTGCTAGCACCAAACAGCATGTATGAAAATACTGGTAACATTTGAACTATCTCAAGAAAAATAGATTTGTAGCTTCAAATGAATTTTGAATACAGGATCTAGAAATATATTAAAAATCAATTCTCACATCCCCATAAAGTGCTCAAATTGAAAAAGGAGGAAAACATTTAAAAATTAGAATTCTCTTTTGCAGAGGAAGAATAACGAAAGTATCGAAGAAGTGGCTTCTTTCAACACTGAGTCAGGATCCTTACCATATATGAAGGTTCCCACCAAAGTCTCCAGTAGCTAAATATCTCTGCTGTAAAGATGCTGCACCAAAGGTCCCGCATTTAATAGGCTTGGCCTTTTCAATCTTCATAGAAGGAAGGAGAGAGAATGCGTTATTGGAGTACGCAGCTATTTATAATCCACAGTATTTACAGGTCTGCTCGGGGATTTAAAAAACGACATGCAAAATAAAAGGCAATGAAAACCTTCTCTGACCAAAAATCTTTTCTCTCTTGTCATTTTCTTTCTATTGCTTAAAACTATATAAATCTCAAAAAGCAAACTTTAACTAGGTTTTTAAAATTGTGTTAAAAATTGGGTTTTGATTTGCCTTTCCTCTCATCTCCCTAATGGGACATCCAAATGCTAACTACTCTCCTGTCTCTGCTGATTTGAAATATGAAAATTTCAGCATTTAGTATAGCATTCTTCCAGGAGACTCTCGGAAAAATAACAAAATGAAGTTATTATTCTTTCTGGGTGATAGAGATAAATATATATATTTATGTGCCTTCTGCAGAATCATATAAAAAAGGAAATTTATTTCTCATTTTCTTCAGAGATTTGTAAGTTCCTGTCAGCCAAAGGCAATGCTATTAGCACAAATGAGGCAATCTTTGAAAGTTCCTTTAATTCAAAAAGCTGCTGCTACGAATATTAGATGTACCAAACTGTTACACAAACACGCGGTTATACAGGTTGAATTGGTGGGGGAGCACGCTGCGTGTGCATTAATTTCCTATGTGTGCTTATGTATAGATTAGGCATTTCTGATTTATTTGAGAGTACTGTATGGGAAATATGGTAATCACATTAAGAAAACAAGGACATACAAACCCACTAGTAAAGGTATGGGGCCTAAAGCAATCGTCGAGAGGATGGGAAGGGTCGTGGAAATGATTCATGTTCTCAACTCACAGATCAGGACACTGAAACCCAGAGCTTTCTTGAGTTGATGGTTCATATGCTAACACAGCTCGACTGCATACAAGGTCCTGGAGATGATGCAAAACAAGGAAGCTGTCCTACTGGGAGTTTTTAACCCACATATCAGTTCCTACCTGACCTCTTCCATACATGCATAATTATTATACTACTCCCAAGACTCTTACACCTGGATCTTGGATTAGTACCTCCTTTTACTCCCTGAGTTTACAACTTCTCTACTGCCCCCATCAATGGCCAACTCCACCTGTGCAGTCTGTTGGGGCTCCTGAAAACTCTGGAGCCTGGAATGAAAGGGAGTTCCTGGGAGCACACAGTGAACTCAACTGGCTGCCAACGGAACGGGTAAGGTCTGGGGAGCTACTTCCAGACAACCAGCCACGGAAACCCTGGTGGAGCGCAGTTCTGCAGGGACACACAGGGGCTGTCGTGAGCCCACAGCGACTGGAGGGCAGCCTGGTCCGCCCTGCCCCCTAGCCCTCTACCACCTCCCACTGGCTGGCAGCAGGCTCCACAGGCCCGAACGGGTCCTTCTTATTTAGTCTCTTAAAATCTTCTTCATCAAGTTTACAAAAGTAATACACCGTGCCTATAAATATTCAAACAAAACTAGAGAATGAAGGTAAGTAATCTTCGTTCTTTTTAAAAAAATCATTTTATTAGGGACTCATACAATTCATCACAATCCGTTCATACATCATTTGTGTCCAGCACATTCGTACATATGTTGCCATCATCATTCTCAAAACACCCGCTTTCTACTTGAGCCCTTAATCTTCATTCTTTTAGACGTCTACACAAAGCTTTATTTTGCCACAAGGAGGATCAGAGTATGTTGTTCTTTAGTTCATTTCTTTTTTCCTTTTTTGTTCCATTCACTTAAGGCATCTACATGAACTTTTCCCTATGCTGAATTCTCCAGTTTTTAGACCTGTGGTTCCTGGACCAATCTTCATCCTTCCCACTAGGGTTGGCTTATTCCAAAGAATTTAAAACATCATTTCCCTGGCACTTTCAATTCGTGACCAAGCATTTCCATATAGCATATATATAGCAATTTGCACAGAAGGAATTACAATTCACTCAACATGGAAATCAGAATGGAACTTTCTTTCCTGTGGTCAGGCACAGCACTGGACCCTATCCCTCTGCCGCCATCTCGACTGCCATACTCGTAGTGACCCTAACAGAAGGGTAGAAAACCCTTAGGGATTTTCAGACTGTAAATCTTTACAGAAGCAGGCAGCCTCATTTTTCACCCACAGGGTGGTTGGTAGGTTTGAACTACTGACCTTGCAATTAGCAGCCCAATGCTAAAGTCAGTGCCACCAGGGGTCCTCTATACAGTATAAACCCACTAGTGTCAATTCAACTCTGACTTACAGTGGCCCTACACGACATAGTACGCTGCCCCTTTGGGTTTCCAAGCTTTTAAATCTTTACCGGAGCAGGCAGTCTCCTTTGTCTCCTGCAGAGCGAATGGTGCAGTTAGCAGCTCAATGCGTAGCCCCTGCGATCTGGATAAATGAGCAGTTCCCACATAGCTAAGTCTAAAACAAAGTGTTCACAGCCTCCTCAGAATGGGCCAGTGAACAAAATTCCTCTTCCGTCCTAACATCCTTGTTAACGCCCACACTGCTGAGATGCAGGTCGCAGGGTGTCGGTGTTCAGGGCCAGGTCTGCTTTTGAGGATATTTTCTCATTAAACCAGGCAGACAGTTTCCATTTCCAAACTACTTACGTCCTTCTTGCCCTTCCTTCCCAAATAAGAGTACCAGCCTCTGAAATATTCTATTCAGCACGTAGCACCATTAGGACTTGATTTCTATGGTTAAATTAGTTCAGAATTCCAACTGAGGCGACATTACCCACTCCTCCTTCCCATTGGTCCTACTGGGCCAGGGTTTTGTCCGGCTCTAGGCCTTCCACATTGGCTGCCATTACCCGAGGCAGAAGGTATAAGCCGCAGGCAGGTTCTGTTGGGCAGGAATGTGCTTCCAGGAAACTAGAGCTGCAGGAGCGCTGCATCATCAGCCCCCCTGGAAAAGCCTTCTCAGAAGCCTGGGGCGACTGCTGGCCCATTTTCTTTTCTGCCACCAGCATTCTGTTTCCCCAGATTCCGCTCCTGTTACCGGAAGCCTGCAGTGAGGGCTCCTCGTGCCCAGGAGCCATGGCAGAGGTAAAAGCTAACCCCACTTTGTAGCCCTAAAGGAAGAGCTGACTCTCCCGACAGGATTTGCGTCGATAACAATCAACAGGAAGAAAAGCTCTCCCCGCTGGATTCCTTGGCCCGACTTTCATCCTTTTCAAGCCCTCGCTCAGACGATCTCAGTCTACCCAGCTCTGGACACCTGATCTTCTGGCACTAACATAAAGCAACAGGCCAGCTGGGAAGTTCACACAAGCCTAAATGTATTCAACAAGGGTTTTGTCCTGGCTTGTCTTTGAGAAAAGATGAGTGGATGAACACTGAACCTGAACAACAGTATGATCACCTCTGTGGGGTAGATCAGAATACACACGTTAAGGGTCCGATTTTCCTTCTGGAAACTCCATGGGCAGAGATGGAACTGACGTCCCCCGCACACCCTGGTGTTCCCGAACCAGCGTGACAGTGCCCAGATGCTCTGACAGCTGAGACCAAGCAGCCCACTCTTGGAGGGAAGAAACCAGTCTACTACATATGACGGCTTATACTAGGTATCTTTCCCAGTTGTCACTGCATGGATGCTAAAGAGGGGGCTTCAGTGCAAACATAAACAAGTAAAGCCTGTTTAAGCTTAGCGGCATTCCTAGACGCTCAGGAGTGACCCCAGCACGTGGCATAAAAAATGCACAAAGCCTTAGAAATGTGGCCTTGCTGCTCTCCGACCTCACCTCCTGCTTCCCAGGTTCTTGCTGGACTGCCCTGCCAGCCCCATTTGCTTTCTTTCCATTTTCAAATACACCAAGGTCATCTTCCGGAGGCCATCTGCATTTCACTGGGCTGCTTTCCCTGGGGCCCGGCACGTCTCCCTTCTTCACCACACTCAGGATCAGTTTGCATGTTACCTCTCCCAGGAGGCTTCCCTGTCCTCCGGTGGAACCCCTGCCAAACCACCATCCCCTCACCCTCTCTGGTCTTCTTTACTGCACTATCACCAACACTGTCTTGTTCATTCAGAGTCCTACCGGGCCTCCTTTCTAGAATGGGAGCACCAGCGAGCAGGGGCCTGGTTCCGATTGGCTGGTTCCAGATGTAGTAGGTGCCCACGAGTTGTGGAGTAACGGCATAAACGGACACCTGCGAACATTCAGTCAGAGCGGGGAAAGCCAAGCCACTGCTCTGGAGTCCGCGCTCCCCCTTCCCTTCCGCCAGCCACTACCGCCACGTTTCCACTCCCTGGAGTGCTGGTAGACCATGCACTTGCTCGCAAGGGCCTTTATATGCAAAAAGGAAGAGAGCATCATCATCCACTGTGAGCAGATACTGCTCTAGGTGTTTTTGAAACTAGAATATCCCTTCTCTTAGGAAAACAGCCAACACTGCACAAGAAGAGCTGGGAACACCATTTTCAGGCAGAGGAAACTGAGGAGCAGAAGCGTTCTACTCCGGCAGAGTTAACAGTCTTGGAAACACACAGGGGCAGGCCCACCCTGACCTCTGGGGCCACTAGGGAGTTAGAACTGACTCTATGGCAGTGAGTGAGGGTTCAAATTAGCAAAAATCAAATCAAACCGAAAGTCTATCAACCTACTGAAAATCAACTCAAACATACAAACACATCAGAATCTGCGTGGAACAGGGGCTGCCCTTTGTCTGCTCAGGCCTGGGCTGTGCTGCCAAATGGCCTTACACAGCAGGCATGTGTTCTTGTCCTCAGACAGTCATGGCCATCCTAACAGCAACAAATTTATCAGAGTACACTGGAGTGAAGCTATTTGTTAAAAGGTCATACGAAGGCTTTTCTTTGCCCCTAAGTATTACCTTATCCTTGGAAAGGCAAGATGAACAAGAATTAGGTACCTACTTAAAATTTTTGCTAGAAAACCTTGTTTTTTAAAAATGGAGATCTACTTTTCAAACATTGTTCCACAAAGAAAATGAGTATAGATTAATTCGGTTTGCTCCATGATACTGAAAATGACCCTTCATGAAGGTTGTGCTGGGCCTAGGTTTTGGTTCTCTTTGCCACCACCATAAATGAACATCAGAGAAACCCAGGATCGATAATTCCCTGGAGAGCTATTTCTGTTCTGTCTGTGGGTGGGTCTAGTACAGCCTGTCACTATTTCCTCCTCCACATCCTGGCACTACTTCATTAGCATGAAAAGCTTCAGGCAACCAAAGCGAACAAGCAGTGGCTGAGGCTAAAAAGGCAGACCTTTATTTATTAGCTTATGACTAATTTGTAAGATATAAACAGCCACAATCATGATTCTATATTTCAGGGTGACCACTAGTCCATATGGTTGTTGTTCTTGAAGAGGCAGGTGAAGTTTTACATGTGCAAGACTTGAGAGAAGAGATGCCGGTGTTCGCACCCACTGAACCCTGGTTCAGGCACCTTTGTGCGGTGCAACCAGCTGCTCACCTGTCTCTGGAGTCCCTGCCTCCACACTCTCTCCCCTTACCACCAAGACCGGGAAGCACTGCAAAGACCTGTTTGCTTCCTTCCCCCGTTTTCATCTTGGATGCACAGAACTTGGAGCCCATGGCTCCATGATGGCTTCAAGTACTCATCCTGGTGTTTGAATAAATACTTCATCTAGCCCACAAGTTCCCGAATTTATGTGGCATACTGCCCTTTAAAAAAAAATTACTCAGCATCCCCTGGCAATTAAAAACTTTTGTATTATAACCTGTAACCCAAGAGAAAGTGTAGGCATCTTCTGCTGCAGCCCACCTGGAGCCTTCTGTAGGGCCCCAGAGGCTAGGATCATCCACTTTGGGGCCCACTGCTCTAGTCCAATGTCTCGGAATCCTGGTGCTCATGTGAATCACCTAGAAAGCTGAAAAAATATTGATTTCCAGGTCTTACCCTGGTCTAGACCCACTTAAGAAAAACAAACATAAACCTTAAAATCAGAATTTCTAGGAGTGGGGCCAAAGCACGAATATTTTTAAACGCAAAGCAAGCAAGGATAACAAAACACATCCAGACTCTGCACACAAAGAATTGGGAGCCACTGAGATTGAATCTATATTTTTTCCCATTACCCCATAACAGCCAAACACAATCCTTAAACTTGTTTTTGAGTTTGCTTTGTCAGGGTACGTTCCTTAGGGGAAAAGGATTCTTCTTTCCAATACCTTTGGTCCTTCCTTAGCATAGTATCATGAGATCCGAATTCCTTAGATACACAGAAGAAAAAGGAGGAGCCCCAAAGGATACAGGTGAAAATGAGAAAAGTGTCTATTCCTGAGGTGAGGTTATAAGTGATATGACTATTCTTTTTCCTATTTATGTTTTCTAAATTATATCATGAAAACATTATATTATGTTTTCTAAATGTTATATCATTAAGACGTACTACTTCTGTTCAGGAGCAAATTACTATTTTTAAATTAAAGTTTGCTAGATTCCCCAAAATCTCTACAAGAGAGAAGAAGCAATATTTCACTTTATGGAACAGATAGATTTATAAAAGTGCACAGATGACCATATATTGTTAATTAAAAGAATCACAATACATACTCTCTCCCTGAAGCTTTGATTGGCATTTGTTCAGCATTGTTTCTCTCTACTTCTGTACTCCTAAAGGCCCCATTTGCTCAAACACCTGATCCTTAACAGTTGCTAATGATCAATAAATATCTAAACTTTCCAAGTTATAGCCTCTTTACAGACGTTGACTCACTCTTTTACCAAATATTTATTGAGTGGCTGCTCCTTACAAACCACAAGAGATCTTCCTTGCTCAAAAAAAGCTTACAATCTAGCTAAGAGAGAAATGGGACAGAACAGATATTCCTGGAAGAGAGAGTGAGCTATAAGAACACAGTGCGAAGAAAACGTGTCTTGTGTGGGGACCTAGAAAGGCTTCATAAATCATAACCTGAACTGGACCTTAAAATAGGTAGCAACAGGTGACTGGGGGCTAAGTGTTGAACATAAAAAGAAAACAGGAGCCCAAAGGAAAAAGAAGGTTGGGGCCCATATACCTTCTCCTCTAAGCAAGCCGGCCTGTTGAGATTGTATTCACCCTTATTTACCCATTTAACCCTCATCTCCTCCTGGTAGATTCTACACGTAGCTTTTGATCCCGAGCGTTCTCAAGCTTCCCTGCACTTGTCTGTTATAATCCTAAATGTCTGATGATGCCTGATCACTAATCACTTCTTTCCAGGTAACCAAAATTGAGCAATTTTGGTTTCTAATTGTAAAGGTTATAATTATAAAGGTTAATTATAAAAGTGTTATTATTTGTAACTCCTTCACTAGTGATATTTACATCTGATCCTGCCACACCTGGTTAAAGCCCTTTAGTGATGACTCATTTCTCTAAGAATATAGGTATACAGTGAACCCTCGCCACTTCGCGC